TGCAGTGAAAACGTACCGATGAATTTCAATGTAAACAAAAAAGTAAATCAAATAAAGTGAAATTAATATTGTGAATCCTCACAATTTTACCTTGCCAAATGAACATTAAAATCTCAGAATTTTATTCAACTTAGATACAAGTTGTTTTACAAACGATCATAGTTTCACATCGCTATTATTGGTTTGTATTACAAGGGGGTTTGCACATTGAAACACCGAGAACGAGAATTGGTTCTATAGTTAACGCTCATCACGCACCGGTGCATTTGTTTGACTGCACTGATCCCTTTGTAATACAACCAACAATAGCGATTTCAATGTATGATCGTTTGTTAAACAACTTTTATCCTCAGATGAATAAAATTCTGAGATTTAAATGTTCAATGGCAAGGTAAAATTGTGACGATTCGCAATATTAATTTCACTTTATTTGATTTACTTTTTGTTTAAAGTGAAATTCATCGGTACGTTTTCACTGTAAACAGACTATATAGTAAAAAAATTGTCTGTTCACACATATTTCAATTATCTTAATTCAAATCTAATAATCGGAGACACCGGGATCACCTGGATTTGCGCTTGGCGTTCAGCGATAGCAAACCATTTTGAATTGCAATCTTCGACAAGGGAGTACTTGGTAACTTGCAACAAAGTTCAATAATGTATTATCATTTAGCAGCAGTCAACCGAAACTACCGGTACAAAGACATCGATGGTCTGACGGCAAAGAACAACACGTAGGTAAATATATATGTACTACATATATATTATGTGCTGGCTATCTGCCATCGAGACTCGAGCTCCGAGACAGAGGGGCATGACGCAACACACCTTGGAATATCGATCTTCATCGTTTCTGTGAATATTGTATGAGAACAGAGATGTATGTACCTGGGTATGAGTAGAAAACAACAGGATTACTGGGACAATGTCGCAAGGCGACTCAGTCATGCTTGTCGTGTTCTGTAGAGGTTCTCTGCAATCCAGCAGATCGGAAATTCATAAGCATATTCTGAGAAATGCAAATATACGAGCTCGTATTGTGAGTAAAAGTAAAATAGCATGTTCCTTTTTACGAGTACCAGTGAGAGAGATTGATTGATTGATTGTCAGGGATTTAGGCGATATATTTTCGCATAGGTCGGTAAGGGGTAGAGTCAGAGTCGTGCACACTATAATTTTGTATGAATCAAATTTACAATATACAACGCCCATTGTCTTTCACAGCAGTTGATACGTTAAGTTACGTATATAGGATATTCAAGGTCAACAGACACACTGAAACACTAACACGACCTTGGATTGGTAGAACCACATCAGCAACATTCAGCAACATCATCTGGGGCGCTGGGGTAGCCTAATGGTTAAAGCGTTGGCTCGTCACGCTGAAGACCCGGGTTCGAATCCCCACATGGGTTCAGTGTGTGAAGCTCATTTCTGGTGTCCCCCGCCGTGATGTTGCTGGAATATTGCTAAAAGCGGCGTAAAACCAAACTCAGTCAGTCAGTCAGCAACATCATCTACATTTCAGACACAAATAACGACGCAGCACTCAACGTATATTCAGCATCACTTCACATCAATATATTTATTATGTCTGTATTCAAGCCAAACATGCTTTTACAATCATATCAATTCGCACATCCGGAAGCCTACAGAAATTAACCATCCGTAACAAGCACATCCGGCAGATTACGAAAATTAACCACATACAAGCACATCTAACAGCCTACAATAGGAACCATACGTAACAAGCACACCCGGCGGCCAACAAAAATTAACCATGCGTTAATGTACGAAAATGTACCAAAGCACATCCCACATCCTACAATTGGAACCATTTGTAATAAGCACATCCCACATCCTACAATAGGAACCATTTGTAATAAGCACATCTAGCAGCCTACAATAGGAACCATTTGTAATAAGCACATCCCACATCCTACAATAGGAACCATTTGTAATAAGCACATCCCACATCCTACAATAGGAACCATTTGTAATAAGCACATCTAGCAGCCTACAACAGGAACCATTTGTAATAAGCACATCTAGCAGCCTACAATAGGAACCATTTGTAATAAGCACATCCCATAATATAACTACTAATCGACACACCACATTCAGTAGCTCACCACATTCAGTAGGTGAACACATTCAGTAGGTCAACACATTCAGTAGCTCACCACATTCAGTAGGTGAACACATTCAGTAGCTCACCACATTCAGTGGCTCACCACATTCAGTAGCTCACCACATTCAGTAGCTCACCACATTCAGTAGCTCACCACATTCAGTAGGTGAACACATTCAGTAGCTCACCACATTCAGTAGGTGACCACATTCAGTAGCTCACCACATTCAGTAGGTGAACACATTCAGTAGCTCACCACATTCAGTAGGTGAACACATTCAGTCAGTAGCTCACCACATTCAGCACCACATTCACACATTCAGTAGCTCAACACATTCAGTAGCTCAACACATTCAGTAGCTCACCACATTAGGTCACTACCACATTCAGTAGCTCACCACATTCAGTAGGTCACACATTCAGTAGCTCACACATTCAGTAGGTGAACACATTCAGTAGCTCACCACATTCAGTAGGTGAACACATTCAGTAGCTCACCACATTCAGTAGGTGAACACATTCAGTAGCTCAACACATTCAGTAGCTCACCACATTCAGTAGGTCAACACATTCAGTAGCTCAACACATTCAGTAGCTCAACACATTCAGTAGGTGAACACATTCAGTAGCTCACCACATTCAGTAGGTGAACACATTCAGTAGCTCACCACATTCAGTGTAGCTCACCACATTCAGTAGCTCAACACATTCAGTAGCTCACCACATTCAGTAGCTCACCACATTCAGTAGCTCACATTCACATTCATTCAGTAGCTCACCACATTCAGTAGCTCACCACATTCAGTAGCTCACCACATTCAGTAGGTCAACACATTCAGTAGGCTCACCACATTCAGTAGCTCACCACATTCAGTAGGTGAACATTCAGTAACCACATTCAGTAGCTCACCAACACATTCAGTAGCTCACCACATTCAGTAGCTCACCACATTCAGTAGCTCATCACATTCAGTAGCTCACCACATTCAGTAGCTCACCACATTCAGTAGCTCACCACATTCAGTAGCTCACCACATTCAGTAGCTCACCACATTCAGTAGCTCACCACATTCAGTAGCTCACCACATTCAGTAGCTCAACACATTCAGTAGCTCACCACATTCAGTAGCTCAACACATTCAGTCAACACATTCAGTAGCTCAACACATTCAGTAGCTCACCACATTCAGCTCAACACATTCAGTAGCTCACCACATTCAGTAGCTCAACACATTCAGTAGCTCACCACATTCAGTAGCTCACCACATTCAGTAGCTCAACACATTCAGTAGCTCAACACATTCAGTAGCTCTACCACATTCAGTAGCTCAACACATTCAGTAGCTCACCACATTCAGTAGCTCAACACATTCAGTAGCTCAACACATTCAGTAGCTCAACACATTCAGTAGCTCAACACATTCAGTAGGTGAACACATTCAGTAGCTCAACACATTCAGTAGCTCACATTCAGTAGCTCAACACATTCAGTAGCTCAACACATTCAGTAGCTCACCACATTCAGTAGCTCAACACATTCAGTAGCTCAACACATTCAGTAGCTCAACACATTCAGTAGCTCAGTACACAGTAGCCAATACAACTGTATGTGTATTGTGGGGTGGAGAACGGGTGGTTGGGGTGGTGGAAAACGGGCGGTGGGGCTGGTGGAGGCGAATCAGTTTATACATCACACAATGTTAACACTGTGTCGATGCTACAGGTGTTTCAAGCCAGCCCCGACCACACAATGCATTTCCATCTGATTATGATATTATTCATCCTAACAATATGATCTCATAACACACTGGTGAATCGATTCTCTGCTGCACTGTATGCCGAGCTTGTCACACACCGCACTAACAAATGTTCGCTGCTGTTCTGGAATGCAAAGTGCATCTGTGAGTTGCCTTTACATCGGAGAACTACAGAAGGGTTATAGAGACATATTGTCCAGGGTGCCGTTGTACAAAACAACCTTAGCGCTAAGGTTACCTTAAGTCTATGTTAAGGTATAGGAGTTACGGTCACCTTAGCACAAAGATCGCTTTGTACAACGGCACCATGTACGATATACGTCACACCATATCCCACAACCACTCACACACGCGCACACCGCCATTCATTCCAGTATGAATTCGTCGATTTCGTGGACGATCACACACATACAGTGCCCTACAACATGCGTTATCGCGACCAGGTGGTTGATAGTTCTGTAATATTAATTATTTAAATGAATTAAAAACGTGACTGAATGTAATGGATGATTACTTGTGCAGTCAGCAGTTCCAACTCTCACCACGCCCGGTCAATATTCACCGATGTTCGAGGCCGCATGCACGTGTATCTTCCATTCCCGTGAACATGTTTTGTTTACATAATCCACACATGTATGAAATTTCATGATTCTGTTGGATAACAATCAGTTCACTAAGGACGTATATGTAGTATTTTTCGATTGTCAATGTCTCACGTGAGTCAGTGTTTCTTTTTTTCTGGATAAATTATTCTGACGAAATTAATGTTTAACATTATCGCTTAAATATAACAATCTAACAACGGTGGGCCTATCTATATAAACAAAATATCTTATTACTGCTGTTTCTATAAATATTACTTTGCTAAGCCAATATACATCTTTAATATCATTATCTACTGCAACTTTCCTGAACAAACCTGTTCACAACAAAGCCCACGTGATAACTGTCAATTCCCTCGTTTTCGACCTCACCCATCACACTTCCTGTTGAGATCCTTCCGCTACATGAACTATACCCTTGCATCAACATCTCGGGTATCTCATCAAAGATGTGCACGAATGCGGAAATTTAGTGGGTATTATCAACAATTACATCACATCTCCAGTTCTCGTAACGGTTTATTGCGCGAACGAAAAAAGTGCGACCGGCTTGGTAGCGCGTAGGAATATATCAAGCACTTGCTCCAAGTCGGAGTAGATGGGAAGGCTGTGAGTGATTATTGTGCCTAAGAGAGGGAAATAGACTACTAACAGACGTTGCTTGGTCAAGCTTGAGGAAGGACAGTGTCCAGAATGGATTTATCTATTACGCCTGTTGTGTTGTCATTGCTGCTCATAGGAATTAGCTGTGAGTATTGTGAATTAGTGTGTGATCACTGTCGGAAGCCCAGCTTCGACATGACAGCGTTATTCAAATGATGATACCCAGGTATCGCGCGAAATTGTCACGTTTTTGGTGTGTATTGTGTTTCTTTTGCAAAATCGTGACAGGATTACACTTTCTATACCTCATAAACAAGGATTATAAACCATTGGAAGTATTGTCCAAGAATATTCCTGACGGAATGGCGAAAAATATCAATTATGTTGATCTATTATGTTTATGAGCAGGCTTCTGCAAAGCAGCGACAGTGGAGGTCTGAACTGACTCATCGAAGCCTGAAGCGCAGAACAACCGCTTCTCGCTTCGTATCTACCCAGTTAATGTATGACTAATGTATATGAACATCAATATTTTAATTTGCATCATTTATTTCTTTCCAAAGAAAACGGTTTTCGAAATTAAGGTCAAATTCAGTGAACACATTTGAAGGATGTTTCATCAATGGAGGATCGGTTACTTACATGACATTTACAAAACTTTGAATTTACGAGTAGGTTGATTTTCGTGAATGGTTGAGACACTTTTTTCGAATTTACGTTCGGGTATTTTATCGATAGTGTTGCTCAGCATTGTTAATATGAAGTGTTCCACAGAGATTAGCAATTGGTCCAAGAAGGGGTGATTGGCAAGCCTTAATTGCAATTAATTTTAATTGCCTTGTGTTTTTCAGTAGCCCTCTCATGTTAATTGGGTAATGAATTCAGCGAAGTGTCTTGGATTAGAATTCGAGATCAAGGGTCATTGATTCGGTCCAATGAGTCTGAGTAATAGTTCTTGATTAGGAATTCATGCCTTTGTTTCAATCGTTCCACAAATGACATGTGGCATGTAGATCTAGTACTTTTTGAGTAATAATATATCAAGTAAATCGTTAGGAAATCAGGCTTACATGGGTGAGATTTTCTAGAGCAATTTTATCATCATGTAAAAAATATTCAAATTTATTTGGCTTCATTGTCCAGCCTGTCAATTGAATATATGCAGAACAAGATAGGATCCTTTTTTTTCGCCTTTCGTGGAATTTTCTTTGATTCTGTTTGAATGAGTTAGGCCCTGGTGGTTTTTTATAAAAATCACAAAACTTTCATTTGAGGCAACAATAATTCGATCAGGATTTTAGCTAGTAATCATTTTCTTCATAGAAGAACTATTGTTCCTTCAACTTAGTGTTTGATGTCAAATTATCTTCAATTTTGGTCATCACTCTCCATTTTTAGCAGGTCTAAGGACATGCATGGGTTTATGAAAATTTGTCTACTTCATTCCAAGAATTCCAGGGCAGAATGTTTCTATGTATTATGACTGATAAAATCTTTTGGGCATTATTTTTTACAAAGAATGTAAGAAAGGCTCTTCCTGTTCATAAAGATTTTTATATTTGTGAATGTTTTGGTCCATGTAAAGAATAATTGCCAATCTATTTAACTGATTACCTGCACAAGTGAGTCTTTGAGCCATTTCACTTCTAACGCAGATACTCATGTTAAAATCATGTTCTAGATAATTCTGCTCGGTGGGCTTCCAGTGCTATCAGGATTCCATCAGGGTCTCTTGGTTTCAAAGGCCACAGGAACTGTTTCCTTGATGCTATCACCCATGACAAAGCATTGCCATGTTTTTGCTGGAGCAAGATTTCCAGATAAATTTGTTATTTCTCGCTTCCCAGCTGTCGATTATGACAAGGCTCTTTGTGAGACTGGATACATTTCTTGATAAGCTGCAAGAACTCTTTGTGGTTATGAACATATCATATGTTCTTACTAATGAGTTGTCGTTTTAGACCATATAACAATACTCTTCTGTAAGATATTTTAGCAGCAGGATGCAAAATTTTGATAAAATATGAAAAAATATTTTATAGGTATGTGCTAATTTGTGAATCTAATCACCAGAGTATTGCAAGTCCTTTAGAAAATATCTTAGGGTGAATTTTAATTGATCAATTCCTACAACATTCTTGCTCTAAAGACCAAATTGATTGTCTACAAACAAAACCTATGAAGGACAAGACTAAATGTTCAAGCTGTCTGCATGTGAACAGCATGCATTGTCGTCCAGCCGTAGATTGACCTGATACTGCTTTGTAGTTGTCCACGCAGACAATAAGCATTGTCCTCAGCTTCATGACATCACCAGCCTCCCGTGGAGCCTCCATCACTGGAGGCCGCAGTAGAATAGTCGTCCTACCATCTCCAGTAGTAATCGTAAACCAGGGGTAATCACCTCCACTACACAGCTACTGGGAATAGATACACAGTCAGGCCGATATTTTACCATCAGCTAAGTGTAGGACTGCTTCTGGCCATCCTGGCTTCAAATAACAGCCCTGAAAAATAAGTGTAAAATGGATGAGGATGAATTTGGTACAAAATTAGATGGGCCTTTTTAGTGTGAAGCCTCATGGCTGGCGATTGTGGAGTATTGATTGTGTCATTATCTTCGAGTCTCGTGCATCGGAAATGGACCTCTTTAAGTGCACACATTATTTTATTCATATGAATATTCGGAAGTTGTGGTCACAGTTTCATCAGGGAATAAATAGTTGTACAAATGTTGCATATTTTTTAAACGAAGCCAATACTTCTCACACGTCGTAGGTGTTTGTGTTGTGCCACAGCAGCTCACAAGATCATTCCTGGGGAAACTGTCAACTTAACACACAAATACAAGCCAGTCGATTTTAGCCTGGACCATATTCACGTATAAGTAGCATCCCAATTTTCCTGTCATTATCAAAGTTCAGACATAAAATATACAACTCCACATTGCGGTCGAAATGTCAGTGTCCGTGGTGCTGGGACCGGCACGGTTGCCAGGTGTAATCATCTTCAATCCCAACTTCATCCCTGGTTCGGCTGCTGGTGGTAGGGGCTTAGTGGATAACATCACATGTTAGTTGTTACTGCAGTAAGAGATCCTGGGCTAATATTTGTATTTAGGCAGGGCGGACGGGAGACCATATCCTTGTGTCAACCTACAGTGACCAATGCACTCGGTTAGGTCCCCTGATTCAAGTTTGATAGGAAAAAATAAAACACTTAAACACCCACTGGTGTGACTTTGAATTTGAGTTACTGAAGGTGTTTCACAAAAAATACTCATTGTGAAAAGAGGTATATGAAATAGAAAGTTGCCTGGCATTAGGCTCAGAATTAGAGACTTTATTTGTATTTTGCTGTGCAGACTTTATCTCGGTATTGTTGTTAATTTTGATAGACAAAACATGTAAGTTTTTCTGAGATGTGTGAACTTTGTATGCAGTAGCAGTATTGTATTTGTGGAGGAAAGTCAAGGGTCTTGCCATAGTGCTATTGTTAATACTGACAGATTGAAGAGGAGGATGGGGCATCGATTTCGGTAATATAGGACAGTTTCAAGCAGTGAGATAAGTTGGCTTAAATGCTTTCAGAAATGTTGATCAGAGGCAATGTAGGATTTTTGAAAATCATTATTATAAAATTTTAGTAATGTAGGAACCTTAAAATTTCAAGAAGTGAGGTTGAGATAAGTTGGCGTAAGTGAATAGTTGATCAGAGGATGTCAGGTTTTTGAAAATCATTATGATGAAATAGGGACATGGATGGTATCTTTTCCAAAATCACTTTTTGTTAAATGTGGAATAATATGTACACTGGTGGTTGTGTTTTATGCAACTGAATGAGTATGTAATTTCAGACTGGTGGTTGGATTGAGATTTTGGAGGAAAACCCTCTTCCTTTTCCACAAGGTGATCATAGTGCAGTACTAAGCAATCGATCATGTTTTCTCATAATCGAACACAAACAATTCTGGAACACTTGTTTTCATTAACAATATTTTTCACAAGGTTGGTTTTGTCTGTTACATTTCATAAGCACTCCAAGCTCGTTTCAAGTCATGATTGAATTTATCTTAAAGACTTTAAGAAATTTATGTTCCTAACATACTAGTCATCCTTTAAAGATGTCAAATTGTGCAAAAGAAACCCCAAATAACTACATGTTTTTTCCTTAGTTCTATGTGCATTAACAAATTTCATTAATGGCACTAACCAATTTTTGGATGATTGATCGGTTGTAATGAACCAATCATCAATTATGAGATTTTAACCAATTCCCAACACTAATGTAAGCCTGAAAAGCTGATGACATCCTACTGTCGTATTGTTTGGGCTGGTTGTGAAAGCTGATGAGAAAGAAACAGAATGTCACCCATTTTTCACACATCTTACACGCACAAGTATTTCGGTTCATGGCCTGTGTTGTAATTCAGCCATATCAACATACATATCAAATCACATCTTCCCATATCGTTGCAACCTATCTGAGTTCTCCCAGCTTCTAGATTGGTGCCAGTGCATGTTGATACGAGCACTGTCCTAACACATGTTTACCATGCTGAATTGTCATTAGTTTATTTTTTTTACAAAAAGTAAATTATTTTCCATTTCAACTCCAGTGATTATAATGTGACAGATGGCATGATATGTGTTCAAGAATTAAAAAAAATCCTTTTCACATTTGATGACAGACCAAAATGAAAGCAGCCTAAACAGTGCATCTGTGAAAAATATCGGTTGTAATTTCATTCATTGGCTTAGCGCGCAAGTTACACTTTCTCATGAAATTCCTCAGCTGTTACAGTAAGAGAGGTAACTTCAGCGAAGTTCCTCATTCCGACCGCCATGAAGGATTTCACTACAGTGAAATCAGCTGTGCTAGACATTGAGAAAATATGTAGTCTGGCACGTGTCAGTGCCCCGTAGTGTGCCCCTGCATTAGTTCCGCCATGCTGGTGCATGTCCCTCGCACAAGCACCGTCTCCACTTACACAGGAAACAGAAGGTAGATCGTGTTGTCTGTTTCCACTGAAGGAGGAGTGATGCCGGTCACGTGGCGCGCCTTCGCAGCTGATGCTGTTGTACATTTGTCGTAGACTGTGTTGTCTGTTTCCATGGACGGAGGAGTGATGCCGGTCGTGTGGCA